CCTGACCGCCATCTGTTAGTCGATTGTCTAGAAAATGTGGGAGCATCGACGTCTCACAGCCCTATGGGCTTCCACGGTCTGTCACAGGGATAGCTTTACTGTTTTTTGTAATAGAATTGTATGGATTTCAAGGAAGATTAATCCAATAAAAATGAACTCCTATAGAAATTTTTTGTAAGCCTTGCTATATTATGGAGTACAACTTTTAGAATTTTATTTAATTGCTTCTACGTTTTTTGAGGTTATATGCTTCTCGCAGAATTTAAACAGCGAAAGGCGCATGGTACAAGCTCGTGTAATCCAGTGAAAACTTTTCTGATATCTTCGGACCCTCTTCTACATAAAAATCGATCAGCTTTCAGTGTTTAGATGCTAGTCCGCATGTCGGGCGTGGCTCTTGCCCGTTTGCCAGGATAACGGGACTGGCATAGGTTTGCGCATCCAGATAGGACCGAGACGGATACAGAACTGCATCATGGGAAATGGTAACAAAGTTTAGCGTACCGGAAACAAGATACGTCTATGCTAGGGTCCATTTGTTTCTGTTGCAGATGCTATTGTTAGAGCCGTCTTTTCTATTGTCGCTCTCTGTTGTAGCTCCGAAATCCAAACAAACAGTGAACCGAAAGGAATAAAATTTCGGTGATTGGAAAGGTTTTCTGGTATGTATTATTTATCGGTATGCTTCACGGTATAATCGTAGTGGTAAAGACAAATATAAAGTTGTTTCTGTGCTTAATTAGTTAGGTACCACGTCGTGAAGGCGTATGAGGGAGTGGAGGTTTAGCTCTACCATTCTTGAACTGGACACTAGATGGAGGTGAATGGACAGCTTCACTCCAGAGCCGCTTTACCCCAAAGAAAAATTCCCCTGGTAACAATTGGATCGACTGGGTGGACCCCTGAGTCCTTGTGGACTCTGTGTCTAAGGCAAACATTTCTTGTCCTGCTGAGAATTGAACCCGGTCTCTCAGCCTGTAACCCGCTATTGTTCCGACAGACTTGTCGCGTCTAGTGGTAGTAATAATTTAATTCTTTTTTTACGTGCTTATTCAACAACCAAATGTCAAATTAATAATTTTTTATTGCTAGTGGGGTGGGACTAAGTCCCTTGTACTGCGGCCACTTCTGGCCTACTGTACCAGCCCAAGATGATAGGCGAGGGTGATTGTGGTGCAATTGGTGGAATGAGGATTGGCAGGGGAAACCGAAGTACTCGGAGAAAACCTGCCCCAGCGCCACTTTGTCCACCATAAATCCCACTTGACCAGACCCGGGATCGAACCCGGGCCGCCGCTGTGGAAAGCCAGCGACTAACCCCTTGAGCTTTGGGGCGGCTCAATTAATAATAATAATAATATATGGTTGTTGAGCATATATGCGACTATATGCATACGAAATATCCGGTAAGAGGAGTCGATGTTCGGTCCCCGGATTCGAACCGATAATGTCATTAGTACAAATACAGATCGTTCCCGCGATACCAGTCTGTTCAGCTGACAGACTAACCAACTTAATTTCTGAAGATCAGAAGGGACTTGAACCCACCCCATCCTTGTGAAGGAAGAATGTGTTTATCGCGGAAGTCTGTCTTACACAAATAGAGGCTTAATATATTGTTGTATTATTAAAACTGTGAGCAAGGTCTGTGTTTCCAGACGCGGTTCTTGTAACAGACGGGGCACATAATGCACCTCCAAGGCATTAGGACTCTACTAGTTGATAATTACAGCTTGTGTTACTAGAAATGCCTTTGAGAGGGCGTTACTATAGCACAAAAGAAAAATTATTACAATCACAGACATTTAAATTTAAAAGAATTTTCATGAGCATTCGTGTGATCGGAGTTAGATATCTCAGAACAATGTTGAGACATTTCCACGGGCATTAAACGGAAGCCTTATTTAACAAATTGTTCATAAAGGATAATAAATATTATCTGTAATTTGTACAGACAGTGGCAATTAATTATTAAAAATTTCTCGTGGAAATTACGTGTTACTAGAAGTTAATGAGGGGATTCGTGAATTTATTCGGTGTGTACCTTCTGATTAAGATATTATCTCTTACGAATATTTCGTGAAGGACGGGGCGAATGACTTTTACCCCTCGAGGAACTGTGAATAATTCTGTCTTCCCCTAAGATTTCTTTGTGGTTAGAGCCCAGGCCCTATCATCGCACTCTGGAGTATAGTATAATGATTCTGTGCTCTTTGCACCTTGAGACCCACGGCCATTTCTTTTAAAAAAAAATCCGTCTTTGTAAAATAAAACTTCTCTTTCTTCCAAAATAGTATGCTTATAATAAAGCATATATTGTTTTGTACTGTTATTAACTCTTTAAAGGCTAAGTCTGAGCCTGAGGCTTATGTTACGACCGACGGTCAGTCGGCCAGTCTGTCTTGGAATAAAGCACCCATCTGAGGCTTACGACTAGGTTTATATTACCGTCTGTCAGTTGCAGTTTTGTTTATATGAAGCGCCCTCTCTGACGTGAGGAAGGGTCTGTCGTTTGCAATTGCTGCTGGCCCTCGCCAGTGCAGTAATTCTCCGGTCCGAGTCCCGTAGGAGCATATTTTACTGTCCCAGATTCGAAACTTCCTTTTCGTCGTCTCCTACGACTCGCAGGGTCACGGTGGAGGTATTCGACCCCGCCTCCACACGGGATTTAAAGGATAAAATTCTTTACCTCACAGGGAACGCTCTAGGTCTCCATTACGAAACTCAACTGGTTGATGCTATTGCTAGTCGTTGCTAGGTAACAGATCTAAACAATGGCTATTCCTTCGCAAAGGTTTCCCTATCCGTTTCCTGGCAAAGGATTTTAACACAGGAACTCACACTCCAGATATCACTGCAGTACTTCGCACACGAAGTCCTCTAATCGCATGTTAAGTCCTCATTGACAGACTTCTAATTCTTCTTCAACTACGAACTTCCCGTCTCACTCTGTCAACTGCTAGATCCAATTCGCCTCAAATCTCAAAAGCCAAAGTTACTTTACGACTGGCGGTTTACCTTGGCGCTATGCCCTTGAGACTCACGACCAGAGATTTCTTTTCCAACTGAACTCTTAGGCGGTAATAGTCCATATATATTTTTTCATTGCTAGTGGGGTGGGACAAAGTCCCTTGTACTGCGGCCACTTCTGGTCTATTGTATCAGCCCCAGATGAAAGATGAGGGTGATTGTGGAGCAATTGGTGGAATGAAGATTGGCAGGGGAAACCGAAGTACTCGGAGAAAACCTGCCCCAGCGCCACTTTGTCCACCACAAATCCCACTTAACCAGACCCGGGATCGAACCCGGGCCGCCGCTGTGGAAAGCCAGCGACTAACCGCTTGAGGTATGACGCGGCCTTAGTCCCTATGTAACATCCTTTCTGACGAGATGTGTTTGTCTCTTACTAATATGCGTGGCCCTTCTCAAGTGTATGTATCGCACATGTAGATGTTACTGAAAAGTCTTCCTTCTGCACTATACACAAGTCCTGTGCCTGTTCTTGTTACAGTTGTCCTACACCGATCACCGTAGAAAACCCAGTTTCCAACATTACCTCTGTTATTGCATTCTTATCCGTTGCCGAGGGTTCCCTAGCAGGGGCCTCTAATTTTTATTAAGGATCCGTTGCCTAGCAGCGAACATTTTTCTTTGATTGTTTAGCGGAAGATGCCTATAAAGGGGTTTATACGCTACAGTATAGTTTCAAAAGCTGTATTCATGGTTCTTAGATAAATACGCGCATCTATACTCAAGGAAGCCCTTGACCTCTACTGTGGAGTAAAGGACATGTAATCCTACGCCTTCAAGAAGAACAATACGAACGGAGTAGCGGTATGGCTTTAGGCTTCTTTTAAGGAGGAGGAGTTCAGTTCGAATCTCAGCCACAGCACCGATTACCCCGAATGATATTTCTCGTGACTATCCTCAGTACCTCCAAACAATTCCAAATTCTTCGAAATTCGTCTTTTATTGAACACCCTGTATGACAGTGCCATAGTTCAGGAGGTTAGTCGCCAGCCTCCCACAGCGGCGGCCCGGGTTCAATTCCAGGACAGATCATGAGGGATTTGTGGTGAACAAAGTGACTCTGAGTCAGATTTTCTCCTAATACTTCGGTTTCCCCTGTCAATTCTCATTCAACCGACTGATCTACATTTGTCATCATGTAATATCCGGGGCTGGTACAATAGGCCTGTAATGGCCGACGTACCAAGTGGGCTCAGTCTCACCCCACCCCAAGAATCTATGTAAAACAATAGCGCTACATAATGTACATAGGTCAACGTAGTAAAATAACCTGAATATAAATTACAGACAAAGTGGCAGACGGTAACGTTGTTGGTTGAGGCAATAGGCTACAAGGCGGAAGGACGTGAGTTCGATTGTCGATGAAGTCATTATATTTTTCAATTTTCTTAGTCCTTCCAGCTGCACTATGACAGGAATCTTCTTGGGGGTAAAGAGCAGCATGCGCGTGAGGCTGACAACCTCAACGTCAACTGTGAACAAATTGTGTAGAGAAAATGTGAGAGCCTCGACGTCTCACAGCCCTATGGGCCTCCGCTGCCTGTTAGAGGAATATTTTCACCTTTTCTAAAATACAGCGAATATCTCGTTACTTAACGGCGCTATCCGTATTAAGACCGCGTGGCGTCGCAAGGCAGGATGAACAATGAATTTGGAGCGGTCGGTGGGACGGGAATTGGCAGGGCAAACCGGCGTAGTTGGAGAAAACCCCGTTCCAATTCCGCTTTACCTACAGAAAATGACATCGAACTCGGACCTTCACAGTGGGAAGCCAGCAAATAACCGTCTGAGCTGTGGCACTGCCGCAAATGTCTGCATAATGTCTCTAGTAGGCCACGACCACTTCTTTCAACGTATTTTCTAATTCGTCATTCAACCTCTCATCTTACAAATCAACGCTAAAAGTCTGCGTCGTGAGATAACTCACAAGACGAAGAGTGATGATGATGATGATGCGTGATGTCACTCACCGAGCAGCTTGGTCACCGCCCCCTGCTGTGTCAGCATATGCTGCGCAAGGTCGTAATGTCGCAGTCCAAAGCGGGACAGCTCTAGCAGTCTCTGCTGGGACACGAGAGACGCCAAGGGATGTCCCGCCGCACCTGCAGTCCCAATGGCCGAAGCGTATAAGTCCCGCAAGGCGGCAGGCGGAGGTAGGGCTCCAGCGCTAGGCACCGCCGTGGAGGACGGCATTGTGCTACCGCCACTGCTCACACTTGGAGACGCCACTGCAACCAAACAAAACTCTTGCTAAAGTCTAGTAGTTAACTTGATTTATTTATTATAATGTTAAGGACGCTGTCTGTAGTTCAGATTATATTGCGGTGGGTGATGGCCGGTTACTGGAAACTGAACCAGAGAACAGTGGCCTGATACTGAGTTGTGCTCCGGTCCGCGCCATACCTCAAGCGGTTAGTCGCTGGCTTCCCACCGCGGCGGCCCGGGTTCGATCCCGGGTCTGATCAAGTGGGATTTGTAGTGGAGAAAGCGGTGCTGGAGCAGGTTTTCTCCGAGTACTTCGGTTTCCCCTGCCAATCTTAATTCCACCAATTGCTCCACAATCACCCTCACCTATCATCTGGGGCTGGTACAATAAGCCAGAAATGGCCACAGTACAAGGGACTTAGTCCCACCCCACTAGCAATAAAAAAATACAGTGTGAGCCCTCCGTACCCCTTGGGTAAGAGGTTGGGTGGATCCCAGAACCAGTCTGAACGACGTGGAGAAGAGAAAATTCGTGACCCCACTGGAACTCGAACTCCGACCCCTCGGTCGTCCAGCCCTCAGCCAGTCGCTACACCGACTGAGCTTGTTATACAGATTTGTAACCAATATACATATTCGTAACTAATTGCTACATGCATACCAAAAGGAAAGCAACTCTTAAGTTTCGGCCACACAGAGCGCTACGCTATGTTAGCTACGTACGCTACGTACGCTGTGTACACTCTGCGACGCAGCTGACATAGGGAACATAGCGTACGTAGCGTACGGAAGTCTGTGTGACCAGTCACATTGGCCATAAAGAGAGATATTTTTCTGTTCGTATAGCGAACTTCTGGATGCGTTGTTACAACCGTCCATGGTCTGTAAGGTCTGTAAGCTCACGTGCCTGAGTTCTGCTGTCTTCAGACACTGAGTAGGGCTAACGGACCTGGTGAGCATGTCGTTTTATTGCATGTTCGTATCCAGCTGTGATTTCCATTCTCACACTTGCTTTCTTTTGTTTTAGTATCTCGCAGGGCATTCTGATATTCGCCCGCCAACTGCTATTATGTTTGATTGTCATGAATGATGGATTAAAAAGCTGTAGTAACTAATTAGCATCACAAATGCTCTGTCCCCCCATGCAGCACATGTTGAATATACAGCGTTAGGATCTGATACTGGGGACTTCTCTGGTAATGGACAAACAAAGACGGCAGTGGGATGGAAGTGACGAAACGTCGACAAATGCCGGGCATAACAAAGTCACACCCATCTTATAAAGTTCACTGAGAGAGGTAAAGGTCGTTCAAGGGCTGACAACCCTCCCCAGTAAGGAATTTCTGTATACTTGCATGGCGTTATTCACTACCGCAACTTTGCACGTTACAAACGGAAGTGTGTGGCTGTGGCTGAGGTAGAATACGATATGTTCAAGAAGGAAGAGGCGAAGCTTTCTTCCACATTTGTCCCGCGACATATTTTCCTGTAGCAGTCTTGGAGGTAAAAGTCCACGTGTTTTGTACCTCGGCATTAGGTGGACTCACGTTTCCACTGATTCATGCTGCAGAGAAAGCCCCAGTAACCACTGGATACAGGGCGCGCCGTAGCTCAAGCGGTTAGTCGCTTGGATAGATAAACCATTTGCAGTGATTTTTCTGGAAAATTTGTAACCCTGAAGAGGTGTTTCATTATGATTCTGTCCATTGTCTTTCTTGGCCAGGAGCAGGCACCAGCCCCCATGGCTCACGCCGTGGATATGTTGGCACAAAAACATCCTATTCCGCCCATGATGATGGAGGAAGAATTTAGCTCCGAAACGCAGTCAGAATTTCCAAGACCAGACATCAGCCCCCATGGTTCATGCCATAGATAAGTTGTCACAAACACAAGTCCCATTTTGTCCCTGAAGATGGAGGAAGAAACCACCATCTAAACACAAGCAAAATTCTCCACATATGCATTGTTCGAAACCCAAGAACAGAATCAACAGCAATGAAGAATCTCATTGAAGGTCTAAAATCAACAAGAACCAACCCACATTGGCACAACAATGAATGTAAAATTTACATATATAAAACCTGGATATATTTAGCTACTTCTAAGGCAAAAGTAAAGGTAAGGTTATCCCTGTGCTTAACTTACTAAGTAACACGCCATGAAGACGCAAGTGAGAGTGGAGGTACAGCTCCGCCATTCTTGAATTCGACACTAGATGTAGCTGAGCCATAAGCTTCAAGCCCCGCCCGCTTCACCCCAAGGGAAAAGAGCCTTCAGCCTGCATTGAATAGAAGCATGGGTGGACCCCTGAGCCAATTTGGCCACTCTTTTGACTCTGCCGTGAATTAAACTCCTGCCGCCCTCCCGTAGTTCGTCGCCATACCGACTGAGCTATCGAAATTCTCATAAAAATTTCATTGAAAGAATTTGAAATTTATACTGCGCTGAAAAATAAAAGCAGGCCCGGATTTGGAAGATTTAAACTCGATCCTTTCTACCGTAAGCTGACTAGAATTTTACCGTAGTTTTAAGGGGATAAATAGTCGCCAATATTCTAGACACATCGCTAGCCTCACGTGGTTTCCGAGCCATTTGTTGCATATTTATATTAGTCATCCTACAGACGGAACATAATTCAGTTTGGTATTTGCATAGGAATGCACGAACACAATTGTGTTATTAATGTTGGGGAAAGTTAACTGGGAATTTTTATCACGTATCCTCAGAATTCTCGCGGCCAGGACATATATCATGTCACCAACAAATTACATCTGAAAAGGAAGATATCTGTATTCTGGCTCATACATTAATTGTGTGAAGCTAACAAGTCAACTAGTGACTGCCCAAATTCGTATTTAGAGAGCAAGCATGCCTGCCGTTTGGTTACTAAATGTTCAAGTTGAATTTCAACGCTCTAAGCGTAGCATCTTCTGGGATATAACGCCATGCAGCCCGTTGAAAGTTAACCGACGTTTCCATCTTCAATGTTAAATAAACTCTCCACCTGCTTTGACGTTGGTATCGTACTCGGCTTATTCGAACCCAAAGATGGAGGTGATATGTTCCTCCGAAACGTCTGTAAGCTTTCAACGGACTACAAGGTGTTAATTACCAGATGATAGTACTTTTCATAACCACCGCTGTGAAAACATCAACTCCTAATGAGTCGTAGGAAGCTTCGAAAAAGGCACCCAGTGCCTTGGGGTATAATTGGGCTACCCTGTTCCTGGGGGTATAAATACAGGTACCTAGCCCACCAGGTTGGGGGAGTCTCGAAACTGAGACTGTAAAATGTGGTCATGAATCCCGCGGGACTGGTATCTGAGAATGAAGGCGCTGGCGAGGGCCATCAGCAGTTGTAAACGACAGAACCATCCTCTCGTCAGAGAGGATGTTACGTAGGGACTATGACCGCAAGTATTCAGTTGAAAAATATTGCTGGTGGTGAGTCTCAAGGGGCTTGTCGCCAAGACGAACTGATTTGTGGTAAACCGCCACTCATAAAGTAACTCTGACTCAAACACTGTACGAATTTATAAAATTTTTCCTGAGAAGCAAAGCGATTTGGAATTCTTAGACAATTAGACCTCTATTCAGAGGTCTGTAGGCCGATATAAAAATTGAGTTCAAGGTGAAAAATCCTCTTCCTGTACATTTTCCTGTCGTTATTAGAATTTCGTGTACATTTTTGTACGAAAAATATTTGAATTGAAAATTGAATGTCTTTAACTTAGATTAGAGCTTCGTATAAAATAGTTTTAATCACGCGTTTAAATCAAGAATTTTGTTATTTAGGGAAATGATTGTGATAATTACTTCCTTAAAAGGATTGCAAAGTAAGCTCTCAAAGTAATTAGCCTTCTCAGGTTTTCAAGATATTTGTTGATGTTCAAACTAGAAATGGACAAATGGGTTATTTACCGAATTAGGATTATTCAGTTCGGTCACTTTAGTGACTTGTTCACTTAACCTCTTCGCTTTATCACATTAGTGTTACCTGCACACAGGACAACACGAACACAGATTAAACGCACACAGACATTCATGAATTGAATGGGATTCGAACTCACGATGCCAGCGTGCGAATACAGTTCATCCCTCAATACCGCGTGGCCACTGTGATCAGCATAGCCCATAGCGTATGCATATACAAACGCATACTGTGAAACAAGCCGTAACACGTACCTAATTTCAAAACTGCTTTAATATTTCATGAAATTGTAAAAACTAACCAAGCAACTGCGGGGTACGCGGTAACGTAGTTGGTTGAAACACTATGCTACAAGCCGGAAAGTCGCGGGTTCGATTCCCGATGAGATTTCCATTTTTTAATTGACCTAATCCTTCCAGCCGCAATATGTCCCTAAGGTCGACTCAGCCTCTAACAGAAATGAGTACCAGGAATCTTCCTGCGGGGTAAAGAGCGGCCGACGGATAAGACTAAAAACCTCATCGTTATCCGCAAGCCGATTGTCTAGAAATGTGGGAGCCTCGACGTCTCACAACCCTATGGGCCTCCATGGCCTATTACAGGGATAGCTCTACTGATTTTTCTTTAACCAACTAATTCTTTGGACGCTCGCTTCTAATAAGGTAATAAGGCTCAGATATTCACCTGCTTTCGCAAGAAAACGCCCGCCACTGGTCAGTACACAGATCCACGTGAATTCAGCCCAAATCCACACACTCGCCTTATTCAATGTATCCTTTTAAATTATTCGATGTATCCTTTCTCTCTGTAGTTCCTCTTAAATTTCTGGACTGAAACCTGTCATGAATTTCCCGTCTAACCTCGAACCCATGTTATTTGATTTTATCTCCAGAGTAATATATTTTCACTATATTAGAAACAACAATTTAGGTAGAATATAATGTTTTGGAATATGACGCCAAACAGTCTGGTACATATTTGCTGACGTTTAAGAGAAACCTTCTGCCTCCCTGAAGATGCCTTTTATTCCGGTTATCGAAGAGTCACAAGTTTCAAATAATCTAGAAATTTGATACTCCTATTTGAGATTGT